TGCCTTTTTGATGTGTTGTCTTGACTCTGGCTCGATTCTTTTGCTTGCCAAAGAAGGTATAGAAATAAACACATGAACCTTGGAGTCTCTTTAATAAAAGTCAATCAAATTTGGGAGACTCTTGATCATATGATTTTGAATTGTTTACAGATCAATTTTGACTTTTTCAGATGAAATTCACTCGAGCTGAGGGACTGATATTTGATATCTTTGATCCAAATTCTTCCTGAAAAAGTTAGTAAAGGAAAGACAAACATTTTTTTTGGATTTTAATCAATGGTTAGTAAACATAAACATAAAGGCAAATAAGAAACACACAAATGCTTGGTGATCCCTGTAAGGCATAAAACCAAAGATGGAAGGGATAAAGGAACCAAAACATGATCTTGTTTGTGGTATGAAATGCGAAGATGCAAAAATGAGATGTGGAAAATTTTAGGGGTAAAAATTAAGGTATTACACTACCATCTCAGACTGGAAAGTATGACTAAATCTGCTCGCATTCTAAATTTGGAATTGAAACCCTTGATGAAACTCTAGGGGTGGGAAAGATGGAAAGAGATGTGAAATAAGTTGGATTGAATTATGATTCATTAAACTCAAAGACAAAGTTTGTTCCTACATTCAAGAAGACTGAGTTTATCATGTCAAACCAGAAGTCTCAACATCCTATCATACATTGTAACCAGTAATCTAATGCTTATGCCAGAGCATCTTAGTTATGTCACTACTATGGTTGACAAGGTCATATACAACCTTATTGATAAAAATTATATGGTATACCATTTAACCATTATCACCCTCGTTCTACCGTTAATGTTACAAAAGATGCACATCCTCAACAATCGTGGAAAGCCAAAAAGGAAACTCTCAATCATATAACCTAAATTTCCTTAAGAGTCTTGTCACATGAAGATTGGTATTTTGATAGTGGCTTCTCCAGACACATAACATGAGAAAAGAACTACTTGAAGGACATAAATTCTTACTCCAACAGCTATCTAACTTTCAATGATGGAGCTAGTGACAAAATCATTAGGAAAAAGAAGTTAGATTTCCTAGATCTATAAAGTCTAAATAATATACTTCCTATTGAAGTTCTGACTGTAAATCTCATCAACATTAGTCATCTTTGTGATCAAGATTTTTGTGTAAATTTCAATCATTCTAAATGTACTGTCACTAACAATCATCAAGTTCAACTAAGAAAGTGTCTAGATCAACAGACCACTGTTATATGTGGTGTCTGCAAGAACATAATCAACCTCAATCATGCATGATCTCCAAGATTTATGAAATTTAGTTATGGCATAAAAAACTTGGCTATTTAAATCCCCCAAAGTGTGTCAACTAGTCCAAGATTATTCATCTTGAATGTGGAAGTTAGAAACCTCTTTTTTTCTAAAATTTCGTTCATCTCGTTGCTAATGATCAATCATATAATCAACATGGAGACAAATGAATATCACATTGTTCTCACACAACTTTGTGTACAAACACTTGTAACAAGAATTAGATGAAGAAGGTTTTTAGATAACCATGCATGATGATGCAAGAAGGTTTTTTTAAATGAAGTGAGAGATGAAATTATAAGTAATTTAAAGTAGTACAGTATAAATTACAATAAACACCTTATTTATGTTCATTTGTCTGAAATCTTCACTTAAACTTCTATACTAAACCTTCTTGATAAATGCATAAACAATATTGATATTATATAGCTATACTATACAACAAACATTACAACAAACATTTCTTGAGATTAATTAATACATATAAATCTGAGCACTAGCTGTAATAGCAGCAGACAACTGAACAGATTTATGCATGGCATGTTTTCAGGATCTTAAAATTCAATTGGGTATAAAAATAATCTCTACATATAACAAAACGATTTATATGAATTATATATCATGGAGCAATGCGTGACTTCTAAAGTAGTGCTACTGCTATCCGAAAGATGTACCGTGTCGTTCATGTATTTTAAATTCACATAACACCAATCTTCAAATCTATATAACACTCGATATCACACTCGGTTTATATGTATAATACTCGATTGTTGTACATGGTTACCAAAGATATATAACACTGATATCACAATTTCAATATATACGCATCTGTCTACGTATCAAATAAAACGAAATGAAAACAAATGAAAGTTAATGATCAAGATTCATAATACAATAACATAATTTATTATATAACAATAAAACTATGTTAATATTATAATATCACATCAACACACTATTATCAATTATTTTGGATTCATGATCATTTTCAAACTATAAATATAATAAATTATATATAACTTAAAATATTATCATATCAATTAATAAAAAATATCATATTTGAATCTTGATATTATGATTTTACAATGCTCTAATTCTTATGAAAAACTAATAAAAATATACCCGCATTCACTTTGTCGATTATCATTCTTGATTCTAGATACAGAAGCCTTAGTTGCCATTACATGCAATACTTTTAAGATTGTTAGAAATTTGACTAATCGAATGTATCGAGACTAAAATCGTAAATGAAATCACTTTCTTTAAAAGTATTTCAAGTGCTCTAAAATGTCTTAGAGTTGAAACGCAGGAATACACACAGGATAATTTATCCTTATATCAAATTTGTGTAAGACCGACGAAAACTCGATTATGTAGCGGAGAGTGTCTGAAATTTTGTACAAGAGGATATTTGATTTGTGATAAATTTTCTAAATTCTGCAATGATGTATTTATAGGCCATGTATGTGTTATTTTGCAAGGTTGCGACCCTTGATAAAACAACACCTTTTAACCAAAAGTCACATTGTTTCCAAGCATCGCCTATGTTCATTCCAAAGCAACACTTAACGAAGTGTTGTATATTTTGAGTTAGAAATTCAAACTTTCAGTAGTCCGAGACAAATTTAACGACAATTTTCACTGGTGGATGTTTAGTGCAAAAACTGACCAAAATTCCTTCAGACAGATATGAAGGCAATATCCACTTTTGTCTATGGGACATTTTTATCCTCTTTAACTTTATCATATTTGAACACACTGATGGACATTAATTATCCATTAGTTTCCAACATCTCCTACAATTGTTGTGGCTCCTCTTCAATGTTCATTAAGATGCCCAGTCCTTTGCATTCGTTGAATGTCTTCCCTCCGACGGTGTATGCAACTAGTAATTTGTATTATTCTTCATGGTCGGAAGTTCTATATTGTTTAGCCACTTTGACTATTTAACCTCGTCTCATTTGCGAGCTTTCTTCTTGTCTCTTTTCCATCGATATGCTATTGTATTTGGGGGAAGATCGGGACAATATTCCATTCCTGATTAAATCTTTGACAACATCCTCTAATTGTACGCATACTTCTATGTTACGGTCGTTACACAGGCGGAAATGACAATATTAATATTTATCCACTCATGAACATTCTTAGAGTGGTTTTGGTGTTTTAACTTGTTCTTGTATAAACTATGTGTTGATGCATTCTTGCAAGATACATTGTCTTGATACGTTCAATGACATGTAACCTTTGTATTTAGAGGTAGTGCTCTTTTGGCCTCTCAGTTGATCAGTGAATATTTTTTGTCTTCGCCCCCTCTTTGTTTCCTTATTTAATTTCTTTGTTTCCACATCTACTTATTTCTTCCTTCTCAAACTCTCTATCATAAATTGCCTTACTGACGACCAACTTTACCTTGTATTGTATGAACTTTTCAAACCTTACCACTAGGTTGTTAAAGATTTTACGAGTAATGAATCCAATACTTTCAGTAAATCTAGCCCTTGTTGGAGTCTTAGACTTAACAGATACTTCTTCATCTTCTTGTCGGAGCCCATGGTAAGTATCGCTTCTCCATTAAACCTCTAGATGCATGATTGTAGTGACTTAATTTTCCCTCGTGTGATGGATCTCAAACTTTCCACTAACATGGGTTGTCTCGACGATGTCAAGTGTATGAAAAACAAGCACTTCACGAGGTCGAAATTCGCTGAAAGTATTGGAACTAGAAGATGATGTCTTCCATGCACTTCAAAGTGTATAAGAGAAGAGATGTAAGTGCAATTTATTCACCTTTAAGTAGCATCAGATTGCATGTGAGTGAGTTTGAAACCGCAACATCCTACTTATTTTCTTTAAAGGGTGGAATTATAACCACTAGACGACTACTACTAATATATATATATATATATATATATATATATATATATATATATATATATATATATAATAAAATGGAAAATAACGTAGTATACGCATCTCTAATAAAAGAGAAAGTATAATATATTTTGCATAAGAGAGAAGGCGAATGCATGTTTTAACAGAAGAGAGAGGGTAATATAATATATGTATCTCTAAAAAAAAATGTAATATATTTTAGACTAAAGGAGAGAATAATAAATATCTAAAAAAAAAAGAGAAGTGTAATATAATATGAGTATCTCTTTAAATTTGCTTTTTGTTGTTGAGAAATATAGAAAAATAAAATTAATTAAATAGAGGGCAGCTAAAAAATAGGACTAGTATGCAAAAAGCATGCTCATCACAAAATAAAACAAAAATTATTCAATTTTTTTAAGAGAAAATGAGTGATACATATATATTATAAATTAATTTTCTACTGTTAACTAACAATGATTATAAAATCATAAATTTTTAAATAACTTATGTCATATAGATTATTACTTGTGGCTGTATTTTCATTACACTTTTTTTCTGAAGAAAAAAAAATTATTAACAAATCTTACATGACATAAGTCAAGAAGAATATATCCGGAAAACACGTTTTCTTGGAGAACACGTTTTCTTGGAGAGCACGTTTCAAGAAAACCTATATATTAAAGCTGAGAGATAGATACATTCCAAATGTTTTCTTCCACTTCTATTGCTTATTTCACGAACCTTTTCCTTCGTGTTGTTTATGGTTCTCAGAATTCGTATTCCTTTTTCCACTGAATCCATTCCTCCGTTTTTTAGGGTTCTCAGAATTCGTTAATGGAAAACCTTAGCGGTGGCGCGGAGGCACACGCGCGGTCGAAACAGTATGACTACATATCCAATTCCAACCTCGTCTTAAACTCGGACTCGCGTCCCATCGGAGAATCCACCGGAGAACCAGAATCACTTTCAGGAAAAATCGATTTCAAGAATTTCGGCGATCGTGCTTTCCGCGGCCGTCCAACGGAGAAGAGAGGCCTCGTTGACGGCTCAGACCGTTATCATCGTCGGAGGAGCAAGCGGTGCTGTTTTCAGGAAGAGAACATGAGTGTACTCACTGATACTGATGACGGTATTTACCAGCCGAAGACTAAAGAAACTCGCGCCGCTTATGAGGCAATGTTGAGTGTTGTCCAGCAGCAGTTAGGTGGTCAACCATTCAGCATTGTTAGAGGTGCTGCTGATGAGATTCTTACCGTTTTAAAGAACGAATCAGTGAACAAGAAGAAGGATATTGAGAAGCTCTTTAACCCTATTACTGACCATGTATTCCATCAGCTTGTTTCGATTGGGAAGCTCATAACCGATTTCCAAGAGGCTGGTGATGTTGATGGTGATGTTGATGGTTGTTTTGACAATGATGTAGGTGTTGCAGTGGAATTCGAAGAGAGTGAAGATGATAATGAGGGTTGGAATGAAGAGAGTGGTGAAGTTGATGTGGTGCAAGAAGAAACAGAAGAAGTGGATGAGGATGACATTGGTGAAACTGGTGGCTCTCGGGCAATGCAGATAGGTGGTGGAATGGATGATGAAGAGATGGAGGAAGTTGACGATGAAGAATTGAATGTGCATGATATTGATGCGTATTGGCTTCAAAGGAAAATATTTTTGGCTTTTGGACAGGAGATTGATCCGCATCTGTGTCGAAAGCTTGCTGAAGAGGTATTGAATATTTTGGCCGAGCCTTGTGATAGAGAAGTAGAGAAAAAGCTGTTGTTGTGTCTCAAATTCGACAAGTTTAGTCTCATTAAGTTTCTGTTGCGGAATAAATTGAAGATTGTATGGTGTACTCGCTTGGCAAGGGCACTGGACCAAGAAGAGAGGGAGAAAATTGAGGAAGAGATGATGGGATTGGGTTTGCAGCATATTTTGGAGCAAGTGCATACTATGAGGGTCTCTCCTTTGGAGAGACAGAAGAACTTGGAGAGGAGTATCAGAGAAGAGGCTCGATGGTTGAAAGATGGGAATGTGGTCTTGGATAGAAGTGCAAGGGGTGTTGGTGATAGGGATGACGAAAGCAGGGGTCAGCGCCGGTTGCTTGATTTGGAAAACCTTGCTTTTGAACAGGGTGGTTTGTTTATGGCAAACAAAAAATGTGATCTTCCTCATGGGTTTTATAGGAATCTCAAAAAAGGTTATCAAGAAATTCATGTGCCTGCCTTGAAGGCTAAACCCATTGATCCTAATGAGAAGCTTGTGAATATTGGCTCTATGCCTCATTGGGCACAACCGGCCTTCAAAGGAATGACACGGTTGAATAGAGTGCAGAGTAAGGTATATGAGAGTGCTCTCTTCAAGTCCGATAATCTTTTGCTTTGTGCCCCAACTGGTTCTGGAAAAACCAATGTTGCTGTACTTGCCATACTTCAAGAGATGGCACGGCAGAGAAATCCTGTTGATGGTTCAATTGACCATAGTGCTTATAAAATAGTTTATGTTGCGCCTATGAAAGCTCTTGTAAACGAGATTGTTGGCAATTTGTCCAATCGTTTGCAGGAATATGATGTTAAAGTTAGGGAGCTCAGTGGAGATCAGTCATTAACGCAACAACAAATGGAAGAGACTCAAATTATTGTGACAACTCCTGAGAAGTGGGATATTGTTACACGAAAGTCAGGAGATCGGACTTATACGCAGCTTGTGAAGCTTCTTATAGTTGATGAGATTCACCTTCTCCATGATAACAGGGGGCCTGTTCTTGAAAGTATCATTGCTAGAACAGTTCGGCAGATTGAAACAACGAAGGATTATATTCGATTGGTGGGATTGTCTGCTACTCTCCCTAATTATGAAGACGTGGCGTTGTTCTTGCGTGTTGATCTTGACAAGGGGTTGTTTTACTTTGATAATAGTTATAGACCTGTTCCTCTTTCTCAACAATTTGTTGGAATCACACTAAAGAACTCTTTTCAGAGGTTCCAGTTGATGAATGATATCTGCTATGAGAAAGTTATGACTGCTTCTGGAAAGCATCAGGTTCTCATCTTTGTACATTCTAGGAAAGAAACTTCCAAAACAGCTAGAGCCATCAGAGATGCTGCACTTACAAACGAAACACTTGATAGGTTCCTTAAAGAAGATAGTGCAAGCCGCGAGATTCTTCATACTCATACTGATCTTGTGAAAAGCAGTGATCTTAAAGATCTTTTGCCATATGGTTTTGCTATTCACCATGCTGGTATGACAAGAACAGATCGCCAGCTTGTTGAGAAGCTTTTTGCCGATGGATATGTCCAAGTTTTGGTATCCACGGCTACCCTTGCCTGGGGTGTGAATCTCCCAGCTCATACAGTTATAATCAAAGGAACAAAGATTTACAATCCTGAGAAAGGGGCATGGACTGAATTGAGTCCTCTTGATGTGATGCAGATGTTGGGTCGTGCCGGAAGGCCGCAGTATGACTCATTTGGTGAAGGAATCGTCATTACCGGCCATAATGAGTTGCAGTATTATCTCTCTCTTATGAACCAACAACTTCCTATTGAAAGCCAGTTTATTTCCAAGCTTGCCGATCAACTGAATGCAGAAGTAGTTCTTGGTACTGTTCAAAATGCTGGGGAAGCCTGTCACTGGATTGGATACACTTACTTGTATGTCCGTATGTTAAGGAATCCTTCTCTTTATGGCTTAGCACCAGATGTCCTTACGAGAGATATAACATTGGAAGAGAGAAGGGCTGATTTGGTAAGCATCTCAATGCTCTAATTTATCACTCTCTTGCTTTTTATTACCTGAATTAATTAAATGAATGTATGTGTTACTATGTTCCTTTATGGTAGTCACTGTTCTTGTCATTTTTCTTTGATTTATGTAGAATAGAACTGCATGACAAGGAGACAGATCTTCATGGCTATGATAAGTCACCTTAGTTTTGGCTTATTTATAGGTACTTTTATGGCCATGTTTGTTTCTGCCATTGCTATGATATATGAGGAATTGGATGAGACTGGAACCAAATATTTTATGGCTGTGAAAATTATTCAATCTATTTAGAGAAATAGGCTCCTGAACTTATTTTAATGTTCCATTTTTCTCCTTTGGATATTTTATTGGGTGAGTTTCAAACTGTGTAACAGTGATACTTAAACTGAAGTTGTGTTCGTTGTCCGACACGTCTTAGTGTTTGACACTGACACAATACCAACACATTTCAATTAATTCATTTTAAAAAAAACTATTACCGGTGTCAACAATTCAATGTCGTGTCCAGTATCGGTATTTCTTGTAGTGCTTAGATTTCAAATGATTGAATGCAGAATTTTTTGGATGTATATTGCTTATTCATACTGTGTTGTGTATTTTCTCTATAATGATGGCTAATATTGATCTATTTAAATCTTGCAGATTCATACGGCTGCAACCATCTTAGATAGAAATAATTTGGTGAAATATGATAGGAAGAGTGGATATTTTCAAGCCACTGACTTAGGTCGAATTGCAAGCTACTACTATATAACACATGGAACTGTATCTACATATAATGAGCATTTGAAGGCTTCAATGGGAGACATACAGCTTTTCCAATTGTTCTCTCTTAGTGAAGAATTCAAATATGTAACAGTAAGGCAAGATGAGAAGATGGAGTTAGCGAGGCTTTTGGACCGTGTTCCGATTCCCATCAAAGAAGGTTCGGAGGATGCAAGTGCCAAGATTAATGTTTTACTGCAATCATACATTTCACAGCTTAAGCTTGAAGGACTCTCATTAAAGTCTGATATGGTCTTTATAACTCAGGTTTTACTTCATTTCCTTACTTTGAGAAGTTGTTGTAAATGGTGTTATGTCTTATAGTTCTATTCATATATTAATCATCTTGCTTCCTTTTTTCAGAGTGCTGAACGTCTTTTGCGGGCTCTTTTTGAGATTGTCTTGAAACGTGGTTGGGCGCAATTGGCTGAGAAAGCTTTGAACTTGTGCAAGATGGTGACCAAGAGGATGTGGAGTGCACAAACACCACTTCGTCAGTTCGATGGAATTCCAAATGGTATATTAACAAAATTGGAGAAGAAAGATTTGTCATGGGAAAGATATTATGATCTATCATCACAAGAGATAGGTGAACTTATTCGCTCACCAAAGATGGGGAAGACCCTTCACAAATTTATCCATCAATTTCCAAAACTCAACCTTGCAGCACACGTTCATCCAATTTCTCGCTCAGTTTTGGGGGTTGAGCTCACAATAACTCCAGATTTCTCGTGGGATGATAGAATACATGGATATGTTGAGCAGTTTTGGGTGATTGTGGAGGATAGTGATGGTGAATGTATTCTTCATCATGAGTATTTTATGCTGAAAAAACAATATATTGATGAGGATCATACTTTGAATTTCGTAGTGCCAATAAAAGAGCCTCTTCCTCCTCAATACTTTATTCATGTTGTTTCCGATAGGTGGCTTGGATCCCAATCTGTTTTACCTGTATCTTTCAGACACATAATCTTACCTGAAAAGTATCCTCCACCTACTAAACTATTGGATCTGCAGTCACTGCCCGTGACAGCTTTACAAAGTCCTTCATATGAGGCGTGGTATCAGAATTTTAAGCATTTTAATCCTATACAGAGACAAGTCTTCACAGTTCTGTATAATTCTGATGACAGCGTCTTGGTTGCTGCTCCAACCGGGAGTGGTAAGACTATATGTGCAGAATTTGCAATTTTGAGAAATCATCAAAAAGGGCCTGATAGTGTCATGCGTGTTGTTTATGTAGCTCCAATTGAAGCTCTTGCCAAGGAACGGTATTGTGATTGGGAGAAGAAATTTGGGGTTGGTCTTAAATTGAAGGTAGTTGAATTAACCGGAGAAACAACAACAGATTTGAAACTGCTTGAGAATGGCCAGATTATCATTTGTACTCCAGAGAAATGGGATGCTTTATCTCTTCGTTGGAGACATAGGAAACATGTCCAACAAGTTAGTCTTTTCATCGTTGATGAGTTACACTTTATTGGGAGTCAAGGAGGCCATATTTTAGAGGTTATTGTATCTAGGATGAAATATATTGCTAGTCAGGTTGAAAATAAGTTTCGCTTTGTGGCTTTATCAACCTCACTTGCAAATGCAAAAGATTTGGGAGACTGGATTGGAGCTACCTCTCATGGCCTATTCAATTTTCCACTTGGCGTACGTCCTGGATTAGAAATATACATCCAGGGTGTAGATATTGCCAATTTTGAGGCGAGGATGCAGGCAATGACAAAACCAACTTACACTGCAATTGCTCAACATGCCAAGAACGATAAACCTGCCCTTGTATTTGTACCTACAAGAAAGCATGTCCGATTGACCGCTATGGATCTGATTACATACTCAAGTGCAAACACTGGAGAGAAGTCGTTTTTATTGCGGTCTACAGAAGAACTTGAACCTTTTCTTAACAAGATTAGTGATAAAATGTTAGAAGTCACATTACGTGAAGGGGTTGGCTACTTGCACGAGGGCTTGAACAAACTTGATCATGACATTGTGGCACAACTATTTGAAGCTGGTTGGATTCAAGTATGTGTTTTAAGTAGTTCCATGTGCTACAAAGTTACTTTGTCAGCTCATTTGGTGGTTGTGATGGGCACACAATACCATCATGGTTGGGAGAATGCACAAACAGACTATCCTGTTACTGATATTTTGCAGATGATGGGTCATGCAAGTCGTCATTCGGTGGACAATTCTGGAAAGTCTGTCATCTTCTGCCGCGCACCTCGTAAGGAGTACTACAAAAAGTTTTTGTATGAAGCATTCCCGGTTGAAAGTCATCTTCATCACTCCTTACATGATAATTTGAATGCTGAAATTGTTGCTGGAATTATTGAAAACAAGCAAGATGCCGTAGATTATCTTACATGGACATTTATGTACAGGCGCCTCACCAAGAATCCAAACTATTACAATTTACAAGGAGTTAGTCACAGACATCTTTCTGAATACCTCTCCGAGATGGTGGAAAATACATTGAGTGATTTGGAAACAAGCAAGTGTGTTGCTATAGAGGACGACATACGTTTGTCTCCTCTTAATCTTGGAAGGATATCATCATACTATCACATTAGTTACAAAACAATAGAAAGGTTTTCACTATCTCTTACTTTAAATACAAAAATGAAGGGCCTTTTGGAGGTTCTATCATCTGCATTAGAATATGCTTACCTTCCAATACGACCCGGGGAAGAAGAGGTAGTTCGCAAGTTAATAAATCACCAAAGGTTTTCCTTTGTAAACCCCAATATTAAAGATCCACATGTCAAAGCCAATGCCTTGCTTCAGGCTCATTTTTCAAGGCAATTTGTAGGTGGGGACATTGCATTGGACCAGAGAGAGGTGTTACTTTCTGCAAATAAACTGCTTCAGGCAATGGTAGATGTAATATCAAGCAATGGTTGGTTGAGTTTGGCTCTTCTTTCTATGGAAGTTAGTCAAATGCTGACACAAGGAATGTGGGAACGTGATTCTATGCTGCTACAACTTCCTCATTTCACAAAGGAATTGGCTAGGAAATGCAAGGAGAACCCGGGGAAGAGTATAGAAACTATCTTTGATTTATTAGAGATGGAAGATATTAAGAGGCGTGAGTTGTTAAGCATGTCAGATTCACAATTGTTTGATATTGCTCGATTTTGCAATTGCTTTCCTAATATTGATTTGTCATATGACGTCTTTCACGAAGACACTGTCCGGATTGGGGAGGATATAACAGTATATGTCACTTTGGAGAGGGATCTCGAGGGTAGGACAGAAGTAGGACCTGTACATGCTCCTAGGTATCCAAAAGCCAAGGAGGAAGGATGGTGGCTTGTTGTTGGTGATACCAAAACCAACTTGTTGCTTGCAATTAAACGAGTTTCCTTGCAGCGGAAGTTAAAAGCCAAACTGGAGTTTGCTGCTCCTGCTGATGCTGGCAAGAAATCATACATACTTTATTTCATGTGTGACTCATACATGGGTTGTGATCAAGAGTATGATTTCACTGTTGATGTTAAGGAAGCACATGATGGCAAAGAAGATAGTTGCGGAAAATGAAAAAGGTAATTCTCTAATACAAATTTGTTTTGGCAAGTCTATGTATTATGGTAGCATATAGTATGTCAATATGTGTACTCTCTGTCTATGGAATTCGTCCAATTGTGTTGATGAATGTCATGAATAATAATTTAAATTAATTTTCTATGATATCTATGAGGTGGTGTGTTACCTGAGAAATTTTATGATATTCTAATACATCATTCTTTCTTACAATTCATAAACTGTTTATCTCACAACCAGTAACCAGCTAACTACTGTCAAAATGTTGAAAAGACACGGTGTTGCTTGAATTGAGAATTAGTATCGCAACTTTAACAACATTTTCTAAGTAGAATTGAATTTAAAAATGACACGGACTTTAGAAATCTTTTATATTGAAATTCTGTCAAAGATGGTATTAAATTTCTTAATTGATACTAAGAACTTAATTTGTGTTGATCCTATTGTTTATAAACTTCCCTTTTTAACTATATATGATTCATTATATATGCTTCCCGATTCCCCTGCCTTCCTTTCTTAAGTGTTTGAAGGGTTTCTTTTCACCAGGTGAATGATAGAATACATGATCTTTTTGTAGGAAAGCTTTCATCTGAATCATTTTTCTTCTCCCGTTTATTTATTTATTTTTCTAAACAAAAATTTTGACTTACTGGTTTTCTTTTATAGTACTTGCTGATGCGAGAAGAAGTGAATGATCCTGGAAATGGAGCATGCTAGTGATCACGAAATTAACCAAGACGAAACGCTACTTATGATGGACCAAATGAAAAGGAAAGTCCCGATCCGTTTAGAAGAGGTTCTAGTTCTAGTCATATTATCTTTCTTTTCCATGTTGCTAATCAGTTGTTGTTAAAGCAGAACTAGGAGTCCTGGGAACACTGAAGAAATGTCCTTTGAATTACACATTTTTTGTGTTTCACTAAAGTAGAAGTATGTTTTGCTTACAACTTTTTTATTTGTGCCTACAACAACGCGTGAATATGTAACGCTCATAATCATTAGTCATTACATGCTTGCCTTTATTTTTTGACAGGTAAGGAATTAATTGCAGAAAGTAGCCTTATGAGGTATAACTGTGATTTCTTTGACCTTATATATAGGTAAAACTTTCTTATTTCCCACATATTTTTTACTGCCAAATCAATTATTTTAATAATTATCACATCAACCTTACACTCATCTTTGAAAAATAGAAGAATTAATAGAGTATTTTTGTAACAATAATTTTAAATAGAATTGAATTTAATAACTTTTGCTTATATTTGAGACTTATTTCTCATTAGAAAACAAAGTGAAGTGAGCAACTTTTTTCACAACAAAAAAGTTTTGGAATCATACTTGAACACCATTTTTTTAATAGTGTACTTATAGTTATAGACAACACAAACTATTTCTGATTTTTCATTGAAATTACATTAAACTCCTTTTCTCTATTTGGATATATTCTGTTCGTTTTCTTTAGAATGAATTGTGTCATTAAGCTGGATTAAAATAGTGTTGCTAGTTGCCTTGCAACTCAAGCAATTAAGGAAAGAGAGAATTTGTAAGAGAAGAATTGCAGAATGATTGTATTGAGTTTGATCAACAAATAATACAATATGGAATGTGGTTTTATATCACAATTGTCACACCCAAACTGGTTTACTTAAAAGTTATATTAAGAGGAAAAATAATTTTATTACATTTCATATAGTATCTTAAGGTCTCATTTTATTACTATATGATGCAAATTTTATTTAACTGTTGTTGCTTACAAACCGATATTTTTATGCAATTTTAAATGAAAGTTGTAATTTCAATTGCTTTGGTCAAAGTAATGATGATTCAAAGAAAATATGCGTAATATGATATAGAGTTGTTATCACATGTGATAAATAAGGCGGTTTTTATTTGTATTAAATTTTTAATTTTTATGCGGTGAGTGTTTTATTATACTTTTTTTTATTCCTCTTATTTTATCTTATTATGTATATGATTGTATTTTCCTTAGATAAGATCTTAGGTGAAAATAGGTTAACTAACACTTTGAAATTTGAAAGATCAGACACTCTGACTTAACACCGCTTCATTGCTCATGTGTCCTTCATCGATGAGAGAACTAAAATATCATATTAAAAATTGAAAAAATAATCAATTGAAGACAATGTTTTACAAATAAATAATTAAGTTTAAAATGAATGTAGTAATTTCTTCTAACTTTAAAATACTGCTAGAGCACATTTTTTATTCCTTTTAATATTCGCATTATTATTAACATACCACGTGTTTAACGAGGAACACAATAGGGTCCTACGATAACCGTTTAAAATGATGATGAACCACGATGTTTCATGAACAAACAAAACCATGCATGATCGATGTCTTTTTTTTTTTATAATTATTATTATTATTATTAATCAATTGGTTTTTTTTATCTGTTAGCACACCTTGTGCATTTGTTAATAATATTTGTTTTTTTCAAACAAAAAAAAAAATAGTTCTACCCACTCACAAAAGCAAGACATCAGAGGTTATGTTATGCAATATACGTGCACCGCAACTAATGATATGTTTGTAAATTTTTGTTTTCTATTTTTATTTTTCTTAATTTTGACTTTTTATTTTAATTGCAAATTAGTAAAAATGTTAAGGAAATAAATATAAAGTTTGACTTGATCATAAGATATAAAACAATTTTTGGTTGTTTTGTAATTTGTAAATGCTCGGAAAAAAATTCTTTGTTATTTCTATTGATGAGTTAAGCTAACATATGTTATTAGTGTAGTAGTGTATTATTCTAAGATACCGTCTTATGACTTATTTATTTCGTATTGATGAGGTTTGTCATGTTTATTGACAATAAGACGTATTTGGATATATTTGGAGAACACGCGATTCATTGTAGGGAGCTTTCAGACTCCAAATACCGACATGACTTTGTTAGAAACGTCTAATTTGATATTGATCGTACCTGACTAGAAGGGAGTCAATGACCTGCCACACGTCGCTGATCTGCTAGTTGTTCACCGTAGGTATGGAAGAGGAGGGGGTGTACCTTAAACACACTCCGATGCTAAAGTAAGTGACGAGCAGAGTGGGAGCAAGCACAGAGAGAGACAATAAGAAAGTTAAATTACTTGACCCTCTAGTGAAGAGGGTATTTATAGTGAGCCCCCAGCGCAGGACCAACGATTACCTAACACTGGGCTGGGCTGTCAGGCCCAATGTTAATAACTGTTAGGGCTGACGTGGCGTCGTGAAGACCAAGACGTGGTCTTCGCTCTAGGGTAATTGTTCCACGCTATCCGGGAGGAGGAAGACCGAATCTCCAGGAAGTGGGTAGTTATGTTATGACGTGTCCCTGCGTGAGGGATACATGAAGGACGTGGGGGAAGGCCCGAGGAGTTCCCCGGTCAGCCAGAGGTGGCTGGTCGGACACGAGGGTTCTGCCCGACGATGGGGAAGAAGGAGGTTGGCTGGTTGGATGCGAGGGTCCTGCCCGACTGTTGTTGGTCTATGCCCGTCGGGGAGATGTTGTGCTCCACGGGGATACTGCCCGTCAACGTGATATTCTTGGGCCCAACCTCGTTGGGCTTGGGTCTGCTTGGTGGTGGTCTAAGCGTTGACCCAATCCAGAACAGTAGCCCCCCAAGTTGTTGTTCGCGGTCATGCGAGCTATGACTTGAGTAGGGAATGGTGTCGGGCGCGTTGATCAGTCGGGGAGTTGGCCGTCAGGCAGAATGTGATAGGGTCGGCCAGGCGAGCTAACACCGAGGATATGCCCGCATTCAAGGGGAGAAGTTAAAGGGACGCAGGGAAGATGGAGGGTTGCCACGTGTCTTCTTGTGACGGCTACGGCCTAGGCACTTGAATGCCTAACGACGCTTCGTTTCCCGTGCTAGGGGTATATATGCGCATACCTGGCTCGTCTTTTCGCTCATTTGCTTTTTGCAGCTGCTCAACACCGGAATTTTCTGCCCGACACCTTCGATTGTTTCTGCTCGACATCTGGAATTTTCTTGGCCGACAGCAACTTTTTTGCATTCACATCATGTAAGTTTTCGCACCTTTTTGGCGTTTTTTACTGTTTGTGGCGGCGTTTCTGACGGCTCCGCTGGGGGCGCTGGGAATGTCGTGGGTTTTTCTGGCGAATACACCGGAGGATCCTTCAAAATTAGGGTAGAAAACGTCCGTCCTCGGCTCTTGCGATGAGTGCCCCGGGGGGATTGACAAGGACTTTGAATGTCCCGGGGACAATTGGATGAATGCCCTGGGCACTAGTGGATGTGTACGCCGAGGACGAAGGGCGCATTCTTTGGTCCTCCTCGGCGGATAACGTCGCCCTCAACTCGTCACATGGGCGGTTGGGCGACCACGCCCTTTCACTTGAATTGCGGTGGAATGGTGGATTTGATTTGGTTGTCGAATTCACCGAGTTCCTCTGTTTTTCATGTATAAATGGCTGGTCGCGACGAGGAAGATGTGGAGTGGTACTTGTCGGTGGATGAGGAAGGTCGCGAGGAAGAGGTCGACCTGGATCCTCCAGAGAGGCCTTTGGAAGAATGGGTCGGGGAGGAGTCCCTAAATTATATGTCGAGGTTCGTCCTCGACGACTCGGATGCGTTTGCGGTGATAGAAGATAAGGTGGCTGGGAGCCCCCGTCAATTTCGCGCTTGTCGGTCACGGGAGGTCGATCGTATCTGCTCGCGTTATGAGGGTGGCCGGTTCCCCATGTATGAGTTCGCCTTCAAAGAGGTGGGCATGCAACTGCTCTTCAGCGGCTTTCAGCAAGGGGTTTTCGACCACCTAATGTTGGCGCCTTCCCAGCTTCACCCGAACTCGCTGGTTTTCCTCCGTGCCTTCAAGACCGTGTGTAACTATTTGGAGCTCGGAGCCACCATTCCCCTATTCTTCTGCGTCTTCCATTTGCAACGTCAGACGACGGCTGGTCGACATAGTTGGGTTTCGCTGAAGCAGAAGACCAGGCTCTTCCGCCCGTATACTGACTCTGTTCGAGG